CACCAAGCCCAGAGGAAACAGCAAAAGCCAAGGGTGGGCGGCTCAGGCGCGACCCCATCCTGCTGAAAGCAATTTCTCCTCACCACATAATTCTGCAAGGGACACTTTGCTCTCCCCACCACCACCACCAGGAACTGAGGAAGAATGGAAGGCTGAGTCAAACCTGAGCTGGGATCGGACTCAGGTGGGCAGAGGCTTGACTGCAGCATTGCAGCTGAACCTATGCTGCACCACGAGGCTGCTTTTTGCTCTCCCTGGAGACTTAGGCTGCCTTAGATGGAGAGCCAAGGGTTTTTTGTTTGTTTTTTTGAACTTTCTCTGGCTCTGAGGGGCCCTGGGAGCAACCCTGGGTGAAATTTCACACCGGCTGCTTCATCCCCTGGGAAGGCCCATCTCTCCATCTTCAGCATCCCTCCTGCATTAACCCCTGCAGCCATGCACCTGCAGCATGGGACCTTAGGATCCCCCCTTTTTTTCCCCTTCCCCTTTCCTTCCCCCTCCCCACCTTTTTGCATCCTGCTGGATGAAGAGGGTATTCTGCCAAAAGCTTGCACATTGTGTGTGTGTGTGTGTGCCCACTTGCTTGCATTTTTAAACATGTCAAGGAACCGCTGGACAGCTCCACAGTCACCCTAATAGGTGGTGCCTTGGCAGTGCATCCGTCCCTGGGTCTCCAGTGGCTACCTAGGGCCTCAGGCGGGACTACGCCGTGGGGCCCAGAGCGGCCCCGAATGCAAGCAAGCTTCTTCTGACACACACACACACACACACACACCAGCTGAGCTGCGCAGAAAGCCCTTCGGGACCCTCCTTCCTTCCTTCCTTCCCTCCCTCCTTTGGGTCACTCACACATCATGGATTCCAGACGAGTAGAAGGAGAGGCTGGCGCTGGGGGAGGACGTGGCCTGGAGCCTAGGGAAGCGCACCGGCACCGGTGGACTGGAGGTGGCCGAGGTGTGGCCCCCCCGCGGCGGCACTGGTGGGGCGACCAGGAGGCGGCACTCCTCTCTCACCTGGAAGAGACAGCGGGGGGGGGCAGAAGGAAGACCCGTCGCCGTCATCCTGTGCTGGGACGAACACCTTCCCCCGTCCTTGGAATCCCAAGGTCACCTGGGAGGTGGGCTGAAATGGGCCAGGAGCCGATGCGCGGGCGCACTGGAGCCCTGGGCTAAAGCTGAGCTCCCTCTGCCAGGTGTGTTTGAACAATGGCTCCCAGCATTCCCTAGGCAGGTGTGCCCAAAAATATCCATCTGCATTCATCTTGTGCTGAAGAAGAGGCCACCGATCCCTTTAGAAAAATGCACAATCCTGAAACCACACTTTTCCAACCTCGCAACAGGAATTGCAGGGGAAGGGGAATGGGCGGGGGGAGCTGGGTGGGACCTGCCATCCCCACCCCATCAGGTGCTGTTGTGACTCCCGGCAGCCCCCAGCGAGCATGACTCTTGGCAAGGGATGACGGGAGGAGCACTCCAGGAACCGCTGGAACAAAGCTTAGAAGTAAACTAGCCACAACTACTTATGGGCTGTAGCAAGTCATGTAACACGGAACCATCAAGTTACAGTAAAGGTAATACTGTACAGGAAGTAATTAGAAAGCTGGCTTTCAAATGTAATCAGTAATGTTTTCTAATTATCTACAGAAGTCACCTCTAAAGAGTTTTTAAAGATACTTTAGGGACCTTTTGGATAGGAGTTTTTTTCCAGGTTTTATGCCCTTCTCCTATCAGTCCTAAGCGGTAAGAGGAATATCCTTTGGTATTGTGCGGTTGTTGTAAATAATATTTGCGAGGTGCAATATCAAAATTGGAACCACCCAGGATTCCTCTGCATTTCTCTGGTCCCCTGATTCTGGCAACACAATTCATTAAGTACACATAACACTATGAATAATTTGCAAGGCTTAATAAAAGAGATAATGTTGGAAGATGAGACTCCCGGATCAGAAGGCAAATAGCTACTAGAGAACAGAGTATGAAGCAACCAGATTAAAACCCAACGGATTTTGAGTTCACCAAGGGACACAAGGCAAAAGAAAGGTCTTGGCTACATGACACATATCACTGATACACAGAATGTGTGAAACTACAAATCAAAGTAATGGTTGTTGTGGGTTTTTCGGACTCTTTGACCGTGTTCTGAAGGTTGTTCTTCCTAACGTTTCACCAGTCTCCGTGGCCGGCATCTTTCCAACTTGCAGGAAAAGGCCACCCCTCCCAGATCTGGTTGGTCTGAAGTCCTTAGAAGTAGATTCTCTGGCCCTCCTTTGGGTGGTGGTGTTCTGGCACCACTTGCAGCTTGCCACGCAGGGCCACGCAGGTGGCAGGGCACACACCACCCATCAGCCAGTGACACGGCCTTCTTCCGGTGACCTTGACTGGCTCCCATCCCGGGCGGTGCTGTGGGGATTCACGCTCCTGCTTCCTGGTGGCCCCTCAGTAGGCACACCAGCCCACTGAGTTAGAGCACTTTAAAGGGTTAGTAGAATGAGGTCCCTTTCTGGACATTCCCCGGGCATGACTCCTTAGGTAGCTTTCCAGACCTACCAGGAAGATGTCATCAGCTGTGAGAAAACCCCAAGGATTGAGGGCCTCTTAGGTAAGGGGAAACAAAACAAGAGACCTCACCTTGCTGACAAAGGTCTGCATAGTCAAAGCTATGGTTTTTCCAGTACCAATCTATGGAAGTGAGAGCTGGACCATAAAGAAAGCTGACCGCCGAAGAATTGATGCTTTTGAATTGCGGTGCTGGAGGAGGCTCTTGAGGGTCCCCTGGACTGCAAGGAGAACAAACCTATCCATTCTGAAGGAAATCAACCCTGAGTGCTCACTGGAAGGACAGATCCTGAAGCTGAGGCTCCAATCCTTTGGCCATCTCAAAAGAAGAGATGGCCAAAGGATTGGAGAAGACCCTGATGTTGGGAAAGTGTGACGGCAAGAGGAGAACGGGATGAGAGAGGACGAGATGGATGGACAGGGTCACCGAAGCGACCAACATGAATTTGACCCAAGTCCGGGAGGCAGTGGAAGACAGGAGGGCCTGGCGTGCTCTGCTCCATGGGGTCACGAAGAGTCAGACATGACTTAAAGACTAAACAACAACACGGTAGGAGGAAGAACATGCCCTAAAACAAGCTGGATATGAAATTCTGTTTCAAAATACTGACATACTAGACAACATCAGCAATCATTATGTTAGACTGCACAGGGAAGCCACTGAAATCCATAAACACCAGCAGAGCTTCAACAAAAAAGAAGAAAGTAAAACTCAACAAAACCTGGCTCCCAGCATTGAAAAATACAGCCTGCAAAAGGTCAGTGAACTACCCAGACACAAGGACCAGTGATCACTGCACACAAAGATCAGCTAAGGACACCCACCAATCACAGGGAGAGATCATCTCTTCCCCTTATCACAACAATACACCCACATACACAAAAACCACACTCATCACAATAATCATCCAATCTCCTGAAAAGGACAAAAGTTGATCCCACAGCTATCAATACTCAAGTACAGTATTTAACAAACTGCAACAGAGCACAGACAGAGTTCTGATTCCGGTCCTCTGAAGATGCCGGCCACAGAGACTGACAGAAGGTTAGGAAGAACAACCTTCAGAACATGATCAAAGAGCCCGAAAAACCCACAGCAACCATAGAAGGAAGAACTTCACACCTCCAATAAATTAAAACAAAATCTCTCAAGAAAAAGACTGAAGCTGGAAGGTGAAATTCCAGAAGAGGGGGTGTAGATTTGCAAGGGCCAGAACAGAAAACCAGAGTGGTAGCTATCCTGATGTGGCAAATGCTGGGAAAGGGGAGGGCAGGCTGGGACCCTGAACAGGTGCACCTCATGCGGCACCATTTCAGGGCGGAGCCCACTTGTTCTTCTTCCACTGCAGATGCAAAGCAACGTGTGACCTCAAAGCACAAAGGTGTGATATATAACCACCACCACCACCCCTTTCCTCCAGGGAGATGTTGAGGTGGCAAAAGGCTTGTCGCACTTATTCGGTTTTGAACCAGGGGTACGACCTGTCCCCTCGAACAAGATGTTAGCCCCAGGAGAGAGAGAATGACAATCCCCACCAATGACAAATATTCTTTGGGTATGGAGTGGCCTGTCCAGGGCGAAGGGCCATCCAGCGGCCAACCCTCTTGGCTGGCCTCCTCTCTGTAGCCCCAACTGCCTCTTTGGAGGGACGGGCGCTCCTAGTCTGCCAAGAGTCCTCTTCCACAGGGACCCATTTCTTTCTGGGGAACTCAGCAACGGCAGGGCTACCGCCACCCCCCACCCTTTTTGGGGGTACCTCCGCTGCAAACCTCCTCCCACTCATGAAGGACGCTTGGGTCTTAATGTTCAAACAGATTCACTGTTCAATGTGCCGTCTGCCTCTAAGCAGAAATCCCCAGGGATGGAAAGACATTTGTTTCCTGGGTGATAGCCCCCCCCAAATGACGATGGGAGTTGTTGTTCAATGTCCACGTGTTTCCCATCTGGGGGGGGCAGGGTCTGGCCCCCGCACAGGATCCATCCTGCTAAGCGAGGGGAGCGTCTCCCCCTCCTTCCCCAAGAATCCTTGCTTGGGTTTTGCTTTGCCCTGCCCAGCATCCCCAGTTCCTGACCAACACTGGACCCCCCCCCGATCGACTTACCGCGTCAGATTTGGGGGGAACTGGGGGCGGAGCGTCCCCCATGGGCTCCTCCCTCAGCAGGCCCTGACGGCGCGGGGAACCCAGTGGTGAGGCGAGGCTGGCGAAGGAGATGAGGTCCCGCTTGTGGGCGCTCTCCAGTCTCAGAGGGGGGCTGGTGGGTTCCGCATAATTGTCAGCATTCTGATTGGTCCAAAGCTCCTCGTAGGGGAGCTCCTGAGTCCGGAACATGGGCTCAGCCCAGTCGGGGGTGGTGTATTCTCGCTCAGAGTCCAGGGTTTCAGAGAAAAAGGTAGACTGCTCCTGGCGAGAGGGGAGCACTAACCGCTGGCTCTTCCCTCCCGGGGCAGAGTCCTGACACGTGGTCTCGGAGGAGGCGCTGTAGAGGCAGAGCGAGAGGTGCTGGAAGGACTGGGCCAGTTCCTCCCGGGCGTAACCCTGCAGGCACAGCCGCACGCGGCGCGGACTCGCACACTCCTCCGAGAAGTCCGGCTTGGCCTCCCGCACGGCCTTGGAGTACTCGTTGGGGTCAAAGCACTCCTGGCAGAGGGCGGCGCTCTCCCGCAGCAGCTTTGCCAGCTGTGGGTCGCCGCCCCCGCGCAGCGTCCCCTCCGGCAGCAGGAAGTGGGGCATGTCCGTCAGCAGGAGGAGGTGGAAGGGGGCCAGCGCCTCCCGGCGAAGGATGCAGCACAGCACCACCGTCTTGGAGATGATGCTCACCAGCTTGTAGCAGTGGCCTTCCCGGATGGTGTGCAGGTCGTAGGGGTTGCGGGGTGGCCGGCTGGGCACGGTCACGTTGACGGGCAGCCGCACCTTCTCGATGATGCTGCGGATGGTGTGCTCCCCTTCCTGCATCTGCAGCTCCAGCGGGGAGCGGGTGCTGAAGCGCCCTTTGCACTGGAAGGGCAAGCTCAGGCTCTCGTTGGTCCGGTGGTTCATGCAGATCAAGCAGGGCATCTTCCCTTTCAGCTGCTTGCCCCCGCCTCCGCCCCCGCCCCCTCCGGGGCTAGGAGCACAGCTGGCCCCGCTGCCGGCGCTGCCGGGGACCCCCGCTTTGCCCAACTTCCGCAGTAACGTGTTGAAGCGTGACTTCTCCTTGGCGGCTTTCGCACACAGGATCTCCGCCTGGCCCATGAGCGTCAGCTCATCGCCTGCGTGCAGTGTGAAATTGTAGACTTCACTATCTTCACTGAATTCGCCCGACACCACCTGAGGAGGAAAAACCACAGCTGAACAAGGACAGCGTTCCTCAAAAGAAGGGCGGTTGCCAGACAGGCAGCAACTCCCCTCCCTTGGATATTGAGGGTAAAGCCCTTCGGAGGTCAACAAAGGCAAGGTGGGCTAGTTAGAAAGGAAAGCCGGTAAACTCATTGGTAATGTCGCTTTAAAATCACTGCTTTGAAACTATGAGTTAGAGCCATCAATGACTCAATTGCCTCAAAATAAAAATAAAAAGCAGGAGGCAGGGAGCTTTTCTTCCTAGGCATGCAGATTTTGTTGTATCAATGTATTTGTTCTGTTTTAAATCAGCTGGAGTTCCAGGTCACTTGCTTCTGCACAGGGCAACAACAACGTTACTTTAAAAAAAAAAAGCTTAACTTGTAAACCCTTTGCCAAAATGTCCCCAAATTTGGCACAGAGCAAAAGCGAGATATCTGCTACCGATGTGCTAAATTTAGTGCTGATCCGAGGTGCAGGTTCATAAGTTACAATTGTTTGATTCTGGTACGCCTCTTTTTTGATTTGGTTTACGGAATGCTGAATGCTGCCGCCGCACAATATCCATAATTTTCTCTGTAGGGAAAGCAAATTCACCTGTGGCAGTTGTTCTCAGTAGGGTGTGTGTTGCAAACAACCTCACCTACAGCACACATGACTGCACATCAGGGTTTTTCCCCCAGGCTCCATCCTCTTCCTGGCGCTAGTGGAAGTCTCTTCGGCATCCCTGGGGGCATTTTTTCCAAGCGCCTTGTGCCTCAGCTGCCAGTAACCACGCAGCAAGACATCTCAGGAGTTGAGAAGCTGGTGCTCCACTCCCCACACTGCTCTAAAGAAGCCCTGTGGCCCCAACGGCATCCTGCCTGTAGCACTCTCGCCAGCCCCCCTCCTGCATCTTGGCTTCCTCAGGCACCAGCACGGCACCAGTGGAACACGACCTCCCCCCCCCTTGTCCTCAGCTAAGGAGCCCAGGGCCTGCTTGGAAACAGGCGTAATGGATTTAACCAAGGAGTATAAAAGCTGCCTCTCCCGCATGAGAAAAAACATGCTTCCACCGCCATGGCCCAAAGATCTGGCTCCCTCCCGGGGAAGACCCACAGGGAGCCCGGGCCTTCCCAAAGTCTGCATGGAGTGCCCTGAGACCAGGCCACCTTAATTTGGGGGGAGAGGGTGAGTTTGGCCATGGCGAGCCTGGCCAAGCTCTCTAGGGAACCCCCTGAGCTCCGAGCCAGAGGGTGGTCAGTGTGTGCACGCCCACAGCCATCTGCCTGAGACCTCCAGACCAGCGTGGTGGGGGGAGAGGGGTCCCTCCCTGATCCCTGATCGGGTGGCCTGCTTTCGGCTGAAATGGGCCAGGAGGCGATGCGCGGGTGCACTGGAGCCCTGGGCTAAAGCTGAGCTCCCTCTGCCAGGTGTGTTTGAACAATGGCTCCCAGCATTCCCTAGGCAGATGTGCCCAAAAATACCCATCTGTATCCCACCTTGCGCTGGAGAAGAGGAATCCCTGGGGGCATTTTTTCCAAGCGCCTTGTGCCTCAGCTGCCAGTAACCACGCAGCAAGACATCTCAGGAGTTGAGAGGCTGGTGCTCCACTCCCTACACTGCTCTAAAGAAGCCCTGTGGCCCCAACGGCATCCTGCCTGTAGCACTCTCGCCAGCCCCCCTCCTGCATCTTGGCTTCCTCAGGCACCAGCACGGCACCAGTGGAACACGACTCCCCTCCCCCCTTGTCCTCAGCTAAGGAGCCCAGGGCCTGCTTGGAAACAGGCGTAATGGATTTAACCAAGGAGTATAAAAGTCGGTATTCGAACCTGGCCCGTGCAATGACCCTCTCCCTCTTGAAGGGGGAGAATGGGGGTGGCTTCCTTGCCCCCCCTTGAGCGTCCGGCGCCCCCCTGCTGCAACCCCGCTTACCTTGACGCTGAAGGTGATGGCCTCCATGACGAAGACCCGGTCCGGGAAGATGCTGGCCACCTCCTCCACGCTGTTGAAATACTGCACGGGCTCCCGGTGGTCCCTGTCCTGGTCCAGCAGCTTGAACTTCCCTGCAGGATTGGAACCCAAAACACACCCCTTGAGTGAGTGGAGGGCCTTGCTGACCCAACAGCTGCCTTGCCTCCTTCTCCAGCCATCCAGGCAACTGATCTGAGGGGCCGGCAGGGAACAGAACAGGGAGGAGAAGTCGCCCTTTGGCCGGGCTTGACCCAGAGACCCTCCGGCCCAGTTGGCTGCCTCTGGCCGTGGTCTGCCCGTGGTCTGAAGGAAGCTCTGACGGGGGCCGGGACATGGTGGGCAACACGGTCTGTTTTCAGCACCTTGTGATGCCAGATGTTCTGCCCTGAACATCTGGAGGCTTTTTCGGGGGGGGGGATAAGTCACAGGGAGAGCAGCCCTCAACCTCTTTGGCCAACTTGGCCAAAGGTGCTTTTTCTGGAATGCAAGAGAATGACAAAGACTCCGTGAACTCCATCCTGGCACCTTGAGTTTCTGGCTGCAGGTTTCACACAGAGGTTGTTACACAGGGTTTATCCCTCCTCGGTCTTAAATCTACCGCCCTTTCATTTCATAGGGGTGACGATGGACCCCTCCGGCTCCATCAACCAGAGAGCCCCACTAATAATCAGAGAGTGAGTGGGACACTTTTCTCTTTCTCTCTCTCTCTGTTTCTGCCACACATACCTCTGTGTGAAGGTTCGCTTTTTCTCTTCCTCCCATCCAGGCATCACCCTCCCTGTCTTGCCCCTGGGCTCCAGGGCCCTGATCCAGGGTCGCAGCTGCAAGAACAAAGACCACCCCGCCAACCTACACACTGCATGAGGGACCCTGGACCCTTTCTCCTCTCCGACCATCCACTCAAGCCAAGATTTTGGCCCTGAAGCAGAGCTTGCCTGTGCTGAATCCGGCTCATTTCCCATGCTGGAACCTTGGGCCAAAAGGCAAGGCTGCATCTGAGTATACTCAGAGTAAAAGGTTCGGCCAGAGACGTTAGCCTTCGGGGCAGCAACAGGCTGAACAATGAGCAGCCGGGGGGGGGAGCGTATATAGTGGGCAGGGGCGAAGGCCATCTTGGGAAGCCCAAGCCCTTCACTTAGGGATCAGGGGAAAGGCTCTCTGTAGACCCTCAGAGGCACACTTGACAACTCCACCCCGTCGAAGAACCAGGAGGCTTAAGGAACCAAGTGGCTCTCCCACCTGTGACAGAGGGCGGGCAGAGACCCCGGGAACCCCCCTTTTTACATGCTCTGTGGCCCTCTTAGTATTGCGGACAGGCTTTGGGGCAAGCCTCATGAAACGTGGCTTCCGAGCGCCACGGACGTGGGTGTGGAGCCAATGCAAAGCGTTCCTGTAGCCTCCCTTTGTCTTCTGCACGGGTCTCTGGTGCGAGAGCTGCAGCCGCCGCAGCCAGCGTCACTGGCCTGGCGAGATCCCATCCGTTATCTGGAGAGGGGAAGGCTGCCTGATTCCACCCAAAACCATTTCCCAGTCAGGTCCCTGGAGGGAGGGAGGGAGGGAGGGAGGGAGAGACCCCAGACCCAAGACCCCCATGACCTCCGGGAAGGGAGAGAGGGAAGGCAAGAGGAGCCGCAGTCAAGCGCTTCCCAATCGATCAGAGCTGGCTCCGAAGCTGGCTGACCCTCCGACAGAGTGGACGCAGCCCAATGGCCAGCGAGCCCTGACAGGAGGGGCTCTCCAGGGGGTGGGGGCTTCAGGGTGCCTGCTCCCCAGCAATGACAGGAATCTCTCCCCCCCAATGCCATATCCAGGAGCATTTTGTTCCAAAAAGAGGACATTTTTCATCTGCCGTCACCAAACCTGTGGGTCAAAGCTACCCCAGGGGACCCCAACCCACTCCGCTGATGTCCCAAACACCGTTATTACAAGATGTAATGGACGAGGAGGGGCCCTTCTCCTCCGACCCTTCCGGGGAACAAAGGCACTTAAGCCCGATCCATGTTTGTTCTCACAAGTTAGGGGTTTAAAGGGCCACTTCCAAGGCTCTTTGGTGGGGAAGAGACTCGAATTCAGGCCTCCCCAGTCCACACCTTCTGTTATGCCACACTGATTGGAAGGCCCCAGAAACAAACAGTGCCTGAACCCCCCCCTCCAAGGCAGAAAAAGACCTCAGAGAGGACTAGAATCCTGCTAAGATCAACAGTGCCAGTTGCCTACGGCAAAATCAGGTGCAAACTCACAGCTCTCTTTTCCCAGCAAACGTCCTTCCCACCTGCAGCTTCAGGAGACCAAGGCTTTGTGGGGCTGCTAGGAAGGACGACGCAGCCGCCCGGAATACTCTTTGTACATGCTTGGCATCCTTAACAGACAGACAGAATGTTAAAAGGGGTGGGGGCAGGTTTGTAGGTGGCCAAAGGTGTGTTGGGGGGGAGAGGAAGAAGCAGCTCCTCCCCACCCCTGGCCTGACTTGACCCCCTTCTTCGAAACAATTGGAGTTTAATTCAGTTCAACCACGTTCACAAGTGCTGTGCTGAGGAAGACTAAAGGGGGGCCTTCTAGAACCGGGGGCGGGGGGTCCAAGCGAAAAACATTCAGTTCCTCCACCGGCCTACCTCGCAGGGTTGCTGAGGAGGAGAACAGCCAGCGACTGACAAAGCGGAGGAACCCATCAATCACTCACTCTTAACATCTCGGATGTCCCTTAAGTCACCCCGGTCGGGAAGAGGATTAAAAAAAAAAACACTTTCTCTTTCGGCTGGCTTTTCCTCAGTGACCAGTGGCCTGAGGGAAGGGGGGGGGTCTTCTCTAAAGGGATTGTTATTGACCATTTTCAATATATAAAAATATATGTCAAATTATATAAAATAAGCCAAATAAAATGGAGTCTGAATTTTATAGCCATGAACACTCAGCACAGAGATCTCGTAGAAAGAAGTGTCAGCAGGTGTGCTTGACGCTGGAAGACACCTCTTCAAGGTGAAGATGATGTAATCATCTCTGACAACCGATTGGACAATGATTGTATACATAGACATTTGAGACAACTCCGGGAGGCCATGGAAGACAGGAGGGCCTGGCCTGCTCTGGTTCTTGGGGGGGTCACAAAGAGTCGGACACGACTTAACGACTAAACAACACCAAATGGCTTCTTCCCTTGGCTAATGAACGACTTAACGACTAAACAACAACACCAAATGGCTTCCTCCCTTGGCTAATGATGCTGCTGCTGCTGCATATGAATGGAAATAGATGTAGATGCTAGAAGTCTAGAGTCTTTGCCTAATTTTCTTGACTGCTGGGACTGGAACAAAGAGCTTCTGGAACAGACGCTGCTAAAAACTGCACCATTCTGATAATTTTTAATATAATTTAATATGACGTTTAATATAATTTACTTCTCAGAGCATCTTTCCCCAGTGTCGTCTGCACAACGCACCAGATCCTCTCAAGCCAGGCTCCTCCATGTAGGAGATGCACCATTCTGATAATTTTTAATATAATTTAGTATGACTTTTAATATAATTTACTTGTCAGAGCATCGTTCCCCAATGTCATCTGCCTGATCCTCTCAGGCCAGGCTCCTCCATGTAGCCCCCCCCGAGAGAGGCCCCAAAGTCATCTACTGGACCAGGCAAGGCCTTCTCGGGGGTGGCCCCTATAAAAATGATGGCATCAGCTCCCAGAGGAGCTCCGCCGGGCCCCCTCCCTGTCCTCATCCAGGAGACAGTTGAAAACATGGCTTTTCGGAGAGGCCTGAAAGGGGAGGCCCCGGTTGAATATCTCCTTGCCTCCAGTCTTGCCTCACTCGGAATATTGGTTGTCCCATTGTTTAAGTTCCTATACCGTGTTTTTGCTATTACGATATACTGTATCTTGCCTCACTCGGAATATTGGCTGTCCCATTGTTTAAGTTCCTATACCGTGTTTGTGCTATTACGATATACTGTATTTAGTTCTGTCTAGTTTGTTTTAGCTGTCTGTAGACCACTCAGAATAGGGCTTTGCCACTAATAGGGCAATATAAAAATCAAAGCTGTCTAGTTTGTTTTAACTGTCTGTAGACCACTCGGAATAGGGCTTTGACACTAATAGGGCAACATAAAAATCAAAGGGATGGATGGACGGACGGACGAAAATCAAAGGGATGGATGGATGGACGGACAGACGGACGGACGGACGGATGGACAGACAGACAGATAGATAATATTTAATTCCTTTTTAAATGTTTGTGTGCTTACTGTTTTTTAGCTTTAAATATTGTCTTTTAATTGTTGTAAGCTGCCTTGGTGGGGTAAAAAGGTGGGGGTAAAAAGATTTTACATAAATAAATATGTGGATTCAAAGATGGTGCAGAGTGCCTTGAGCGTCTCGAACCAACCGAGGGCTAATCATGAAATAAAGACGTAAGGACGGCCGGAGGCCAGTCGAGGGTCACCCTAGGCATCCCTCGGCAGTGCTCCCAAAACCTTTTAAGGCATTTCTGTCCAGCCAGCTTCTTTCCCCTTGGTTGTTCCGAGGGTGGCACCTATGCTAAACAGCTTCATACCCCCGCAGACACGATGCCTGCTCTTTGCTCCTTTTGTTGATGGGTGTCCTTCTCCAAAAGAAAGAAAGAAAGAAAGAAAGTAGGGGTGTCAGGTGGGGATTCATCCTGAACGCTCAGCTCCAACTCTGCTTTTGAAAGGGTGATGGCTAGAAATAAAAATCAGGGCCCCTAATGGCCATACAAGGCAAGGTC